ACTTATAACACATTACATTACTAAATTAACCAAATTATTTATTCAACTCATCATCTTGAACCTTAATAATTAATTTAAATAACTTTAAATTAAATAATATTACTAATTTAATTAATTACCTGATAAATAAACATTTTTTAAATTCAAGTAGTCAAATTATCTAATTAATTTAATGAAACCTTAATTATTTAAATAATGAAATAATTTTACTAAATTTACTAATTTAATTAATTGCTTAATTACTAATACGTAATTCTTTTTAGTTAGTTTAATTATGTAATTAATTCCATTAAATCTTAATTAATTTAAAAACCCTAACATATTATATACTATTATTAATTTAATTAATTTATTAATTGCTAATACATTATTCCTTTTAATTAGTTAAATTACGTAACTAATTCCCTCATACCTTAATTACTTAAAATAAATGAAATATTATATAATATTATTAATTTAATTAATTGCTTAATTACTTATAACACATTACATTACTAAATTAACTAAATTATTTATTTAACTCATAACTAGCACCTTAATAATTAATTTAAATATTTTTTAAGTTAAATAATATTAATAATTTAATTAATTGCTTAATAACTAAAACATTTTTTTCAATTCAAGTAGTCAAATTGTTTAATTAATTTAATGAAACCTTAATTAATTTAAATATTTTAAAAATTAAATAATATTACTAATTTAATTAATTGCTTAATAACAAAAACATTTTTTCAATTCAAGTGGTTAAATTATTTAATTAGTTTAATAAAAGCATTATTATTTTAAATATTTCTTGAATTTAACTAATTTAATTGATTTCTTATTGAACTAAATTATTTAATTAACTCATTAACACCTTCACTAATTTAAATATTTTTTAATTTCAATAATATTACTAAATCACTTAATTACTAAAACATTGTTCGCATATGGTAATTAGTTAAATTAATTTATTAATTTAATAAAATCTTAATTAATTTAAATAATTATAAATTTTATTATATTTGCTAAATTAATTAAACCCAAAAAATCCTATTGTGAAAGCTAAGGAAAGCACATACAGTACCAACAAATTACACACGTAATACTAATAGATTACACACATAATACCAACATTTAAAGAAAAATCCTATTTTCAATAGAATACATCTCAATAATAGATTAAACGCATTACTATGAAGTGAAATCTTCATCACAGTTAATGCAAATTTGAATATTTGATTACAACAGATGACAACAACAACATTTTCATCACAATCAACATATAGAAAATTTGAAATTGAAACCCTAAATGTAAAAATCCCATGGCAAAAATAAAGCCTACCCTATGGGCTTCAAAACTACCATCGATCAGAGTAAAATGGGCACTAAAATCGATGAAATCTAGTAGGCAGAGCTTCACCGGAAATGAACAGTAGTAGCTCCTTAAGGAAAGGCAAATCTATCGGCAACCTTGGGTTCAGCAACAAAAGGAAGGGCAGAGGGGTTAGGTCGGATGAGCGAATGTCCGGTTAGGTCGAAAGGGCTGTGCAACGGGGCAATAGGCATGAGGGAGAGAGGGAGAGAGATGAAGGAGAGGAAAAGATAGCTGGGAGAAATGGGGGGGAAGAGGGGCATTCGATAATTTTAATTGATCTCATCGATGAATTCGCCAACAGAATTTTTTGTTGGTAAATTTTTTTAAAATATCAATTGAAATTCTGTAAAAAAAATTAGTAGATAAATTGACCATCTTTTTAAACTAGATTACTGATCGAATTTTCATCAATAATTGATCAATAATTTGACAATATTACTGAGGTATTTTGTCAGTACATTGGTTTGTAAATTTCAAGGAAACATCAATTTCATGAAAAAATAAGAAACATTGAATCATATTTTACAAAAACTTTATGTGTGTTTTTTTAATATTTTATTTTATAAATTTAACGAATTATTAATTTATTACATTAATCTCAAATTAGGAATGATCAAAATTATTATCTAATTAAGATTATTAACTTATGAAGTATTAAGTTGTAGAGGTTATGAATTACTTAATATGTTTTGTTAAAAGGGAAATATTTTTTATTTAAAAAATACAAATTAAGTTGCCAAAAAAAAGTAGGCAAACACGGCTTAAAAAGCAGGCGGCTTGTAGATCGGATTCCCGCCAAAACGGACATTTTCCAATTATAAATATCCAAGTGAACACAATTCTATCTTCTTTTCTCCGTTCTCTCTCTGAAGAAGCTTCAAAGGCTATGAATCTCAGATTTCAGGTGAATCGAGCTAGTGATTCAAAGAATCATATGATTTTTTAGTAATCGCAATTGAAATTTATATAGATTTTTTGTGCTAAAAATAAAGTTAGCTAGTCCTTGCAACCAAAGAAAATTCATCTCGAATCCGCTCAACATTTTCAACACTTGCAAGAACTAGCTAATTCTTCATAGCTAGGAGATTTCACGATCGAGAGGCAATAGAGATTGTTCTGGGTGATTTGGATTTGAAACGAAAATTACAGTTCACTCGATCAAACTACGTACAAAGAATTATAGACTTTAGCGAGTCTCTGTTTTCTACTTTGCATTTTTTTTATTGATCTTCAGCGGTTCTTCTTCTCTAGAAGTTTTGCAATAATTTACTCTATGATTTTCATTATTTTTCGTATTTTATTGAGATTTGAATATAAAATGAAGAATTAAAGGATTTAACGTCTATCTGCTTTCCTCTTAGCCTTTTTTAACTAACATTTCCAGAAGTTTAAGTATTAAACTAAGAGATCTTTAGAAATTCATTTCTCTGTAAGTTTTAAGATAAGTTAAGCTTATTTTCACTAGTTTCCTGGAAAAAAAATGAAGAATTAGAGTGTTTAATGAGTATCTGCGTTTTTCAATCGAGATTTCGAGAGTTTTGAGTTTTAAATTCGGAGATGTTTAGCAGTTCATTATATCTAGGAATTTCTGTGTAAATTTGCAGCATATGTGAAGGTATCATCTTAGCTTCGTTAAAATACTACAGAATTTGAAGCATTTTTATATAAATTCTTTCCAGTTTAATTTTCTATCATAAGCTGTTATTATCGTCTCACGAAAGATATATTTGAATATCTTGTTGCTATTTGTTTGATTTGAAATCTGAATCCAACGAAAACAGAAAGCTACAAATTGTTTGAATATAGTGTAATATTTTTCTTTTTCATTGAACTGTATTATCGAAGTGCATTTAATCTCGATACAATTCCAATAATTAGAGTCAGTTCCAGGAGCACTGCATGATATTTACTGTTTTGTCCTTTTCCATTTGAAAAAGATGCTTAATCTTGGCAATTTATATGAAGATTCACAAGAATGGCATTTATATTAGCTGTTATTTAATTATTTTCATTTTTTTTTCGCAGATTGTTAATAAGAGAGTTTGATCATGGATTCATGTTCACTGAAATCCGTGTTCGATTTGCCATCACTTTTCCGTTCAATTTTTAGTTTCAGGTAAATATACTTTAACTTGAGATTTTTCAAGTTGGCATGGAAATTAGGCGTTTGTCAGTAGCATATTATGGATTTTAGCATCATTCTGATTATAAAAAAGTGTTTATAATTATAATTAAATAGAAATTTTATCATTTTTATCTGAAACAAATCCATAATTCCATATGGCGGTACCTTTTATTTGTATTTATTATGCTCGCAGGTACTTTAATTCACTGCAGAGTGAATGCTTCCCTGTTTGTTTCCTCTCCGATGTAAACATGGTTATTTCAGCTCCTACTGGAAGTGGGAAAACTGTGCTCTTTGAGCTCTGCATATTGAGGCTTCTCTCAAGGTTTATCACTAGGGATGAAACGTTTGTCCATATAAAGGGAACACTAAAAACAGTAAGTCTTGAGCACTCATGCCAGTATTAGTTTGTAGAGACTTGAATTATTACTTTAGTAAATGCAGACAAGCGCCTTTTTCTCATGCTTTTCCGCTCAATGCATGATATATTAATGTTGGGCTAGAAGCATATTGAATGTTTCTATGTGGGAGCACTTTGTCATTGGTTCTTATTTCTAGTTTTGATTTGGTCTAAAGATCTACATAGCCCCATCCAAAGCTTTAGTGCAAGAGAAGCTGCGTGATTGGAATCAGAAGTTTGGTTCATTGGGGTTAAATTGCCTGGAGTTGACAGGTGATAACGAATCTTATAGCATAAGGAAAATTCAAGAAGCAGATATTATTGTAACGACTCCTGAGGTGAGCACATAGACATGTCATACCAAACGATAAACATAGCCACGAATTCAGTCACATGCGCTAATCTAGATTTGCAATTATGCAAATTCCTTTAATATACATGTTGCACTGCATGATTACATGACTGAAAGTTTTTCATTTTCTTTTATATAGAAATTTGATGCTGTTACCCGGTACCGCATAAAGGATGGAGGCTTGAGCTTCTTCAGTGATATAGCACTTCTGCTTATTGATGAAGTTCACCTACTGAATGATCTGCGTGGGGCAGCTTTGGAGGCAATAGTTAGCAGAATAAAAATGCTTGCTCGCAACCCAGAAATGAAATCAAGTCCTCTGGCATCTGTTCGGTTTTTAGCTGCGTCAGCCACTATTCCAAACATTGAGGACCTTGGTAAATTTTCCTCTCATATTTGCTAAAGAGTTAATCCGATTTTATTTTAACTTTTACTTTCAAAAATGGAAAGTGATTGAACTGTTATAACATACACACTTGATAATAACAAGCACAGCTGAATGGCTTGAGGTCCCTGTCCAAGGAATCAAAAGGTAATTTATGCTATGATGTGATGGCTGCACTTTCTTCTCTTAGTTGCAGTTGAATTTTATGTCCTTCAACTTTCTAATTTATTAACAGGTTTGGAGAAGAAATGAGGCCTGTAAAGTTGACGACTAAAGTTTTTGGTATGCCTTTTCTTTTTAGATGTTCCTTTCTCAAAATTATCTTTTCAAAGTTGTCTCCCTCAAGTGCATTTCTTTGACAAAAGCAAATATCTTTGTTGCAGGGTATGCCGCTGCAAAAAATGACTTCCTGTTCGAAAAGGCAAGTAATTGTGTATGGATTTTTAAGTCTTACACTTTCTTTATTGCAAGAATTTTATATATTGAAAGGGCAAATAACAGAACATAAATATTTAGTTAACAAGTTCAGATTAATCTAATATTAGTGATTGTTTCTATTTGTCATCATCCAGCGCCTCCATAACTATATTTTTGGTAAGATCCAACTTCTGGACTAGTGTCTTGTTAAATGCTTTTTGAACTGTTTCTGTTTTATATGCTGAAAAAATTATATATGATAAAAGAGCATAAATACCATTTTTGGTCGGAACTAATTGCAGATATTCTAATGCAATTTTCAAGAGGAAAATCTGCTCTAGTTTTTTGCTCAACTAGAAAAGGAGCACAAGAAGCAGCACAACGCCTCTCTCAGACAGTAATGACCTTTGGTTATTCAAATCCATTTATTAGAAGTCATGAGCAACAGGAAAGGCTAAGAGAGGCTTCCCTGTCATGCAGTGACAAACAAATGCAATCTTATATTCTTTATGGAGGTATAGGGTGAACTTATTCTAGTATGACACTCATTATTGGAAATTATATGTCAAGTTAATGTGAGATACTATGTTTGCAGTTGGTTATCATAATGGTGGGCTTAGTCTTAAGGATCGTAATCTCATTGAAAGTCTTTTTCTTAGTGGTGATGTCCAAGTTCTGTGCACCACAAATACTCTTGCCCATGGAATCAACCTACCAGCTCATACAGTTGTAATTAAGTCAACCCAACATTTGTATGTCAAACTGTTTTTCTGAAGTCAACTATTTATAATCTTTATCATTTTCTCTTATACAAAGCAAAGAGCATCTATTGTATCTAATGCTTCAAAATTTCAATTTATTCAGCAACAAGGAAAAAGGTCTTTACATGGAATATGATCGGTCAATGGTACTACAGGTGTGTTGCTATATGCTTCTTCAGTAGTTTCCAGTGACTTTCAAAGATATAAATCACTAGAATTTCTGTATTCCTCTAGCTTTAAAGATATAAATTACTTCAATTTTTGGAACATTTATGTTTTTTGAGAAAACTAGTACTTCTACATGGAGCTCCTCCTTTCTATCCCCATTGTATGTGGAAGGCACGAGCTGTTATGAATAAGTAGACATGTTTTGCGGATGGTCATTCAAAATTGTCCATACTCACTGTCGCTTGACTGAAGAGAGAAAGATGAATGTATCTGGTTGTATCTGCATTTCATGCCCATATTTCTCAATTTACATGCATATGTATATAGTTAAATTAGTTGTTTGTTCTCCAGATGTGTGGGAGAGCAGGTCGGCCACCATTTGATGAGACGGGGATGGTTGTAATCATGACTAGAAGAGAAACAGTAATCTAACACTGTCCTTTGTTCCTCTTCCCTAGCATATTTCTTGTACTGCCACTAATTTAGCCTACTGGATTCTAGCTAATTTTGTCTTTTATGATATCATACATGATCTCAGGTCCATTTATATGAGAATCTCTTGAATGGATGTGAAATGGTAGAATCACAGTATGTTCACAACTTCTAAAATCCATAATAGATTTGTTATTCTGGAGTTTTTCATGACGCATGCATTCTATGAAAGTTAGGCACATCTTCTAATTGTGTGCTTCACATTTTTGTTACCAATGTAGGTTGCTCTCATGTGTGACAGAACACTTAACTGCGGAAATAGTTCAACTGACCATCTCTGACATCACAAAGGCAATTGAGTGGATGAAGTGCTCATACTTATATGTGAGAATGAAAAAGGCATGTATATGGCCATTTTTTGAAGGATATAAAATGCCTTCTTTTGATTGCATTCTGACCCTTTGAATGCACAATCAGAATCCTGAGAATTATGCAGTTAGAAAAGGGATTCCAAGAGATCGAATAGAGAAGCATATGCAAGGTGTACTTCTTTCCCTGTGGATTTATCGAGTTTTTTTTTCTGACATCATATTGCTCATCAATGCTGTGTAATGTCAGAGATTTGTGTTAAAAATGTTAATGAGCTATCATACCACCAAATGATTCAGACTGATGAAGATGGTTTCATATTGAAGCCACAAGGTATGCTGAAATTGTTAATTAATATCTCTTAGCTTTCCTTAAGTATAAACATCTCACTAATTCCTACCTCTTTGTTTTCATTGTTTTTAGAGCCAGGTAGATTGATGACAAAGTACTATCTGAAATTTAACACCATGAAACACATTATGCAAGCTCCACCTAGCTACAGTTTAGAAGATGTACTACAGATTATATCCCGTGCTGAGGAGATTGCTTGTATGCATACCCATCTAGTAATAGTTATTGTTTGTACTTGTTCTTCTAAAGGAACTGTAAGATTGAAGCATTAATTTGCTGGAAAATGAAGGGATACAGCTCAGACGCAGTGAGAAGAAGCTTTTGAATGACATAAATGCCGATAAAGATGGCCGCCTCCGGTTCCATGTCAGTGGTGATAGAGGGAAACGGAAAAAGCGCATTCAAACAAGAGAAGAGAAGATATTTGTTTTGGCAAATGACTGCTTAACTGGGGATCCTTTGGTTCATGATTTATCTATGACCCAGGTATCATGACTTCAGTTATTTTCGTACTTTGATTATGGTTAAAACTTTTCTAGAAGAATTACTCTTAAAGTTGAACTGATGAAATAATGAATTGCTGTGTTTGCTTTAGGATGCAAATTCAATATGCGCAAATGGGTGTAGGATTGCTAAGTGTATGAAAGAGTATTTTATATACAAAAAGAACTATAAAGGAGCCCTCAACTCGTCGCTTCTAGCAAAGTCATTATATCAAAAACTCTGGGATGACAGTCCTTACTTGCTGAAACAATTACCTGGCATTGGAATGGTGACAGCGAAGGTTTTCTTTGATGAGGATTTGTTTGATTGATGTAGTTAGATTTATTGTTTCTAAATACTTGGTTGGTTCAATTTTATCTCATTATACTCCCTCCACTAATGCTTTGTTCAGGCACTCCATTCAATGGGAATTAAATCATTTGAGACACTAGCTGAAGCTGATCCAAGGAGGATAGAGTTGGTTACTGGGCGAAAATATCCTTTTGGAAATCATATCAAGGAGTCTCTAACGTCATTGCCTCCTAAAGTTGACATTAAGATTGAGGTAAGTGAATGCCAGAAGCAAGGAAAGTCCAAGTTAGCAGTAACATTGACGAGGCTATCACAAGGGGTCCAATCAACTAAGCGACACTATGCTGATATGGTATATTATCCGGAATGTTTCGTCATACCTTCGTGAGTAGCGTCAATGGAATATAAATGTTGTACTAAACATTTTCTCTTACAGATTGTTGCTTCAGAAGAAGAAAACCTGATCCTTTTTCATGAGAAGATAAGGTGCCGTTAACATTAGTTTATATTCAATGTTTGGATACTATCTATTCGACTATTATACCAATGTGTTTCCGTCAAACAGATTTGTTATTTGCTCAAATATTTTAGTAAAATAAGACTGGAACCCTTTTTTTTTCCTATATGGAATTGGTTATCCGAAACAGTGACCCTTGATATAATGCTTGATTCTAGATGCTATCTCTGCTTCTTTCCTCCTTATATTACTTTCTAACTCCATCTTACTTGGCTTCAGCAGAATGGATGACTTTTTAAGGTATGCAAACTTCTTCTCAGACTCCTTCAGCCTAATAATGTGTTGAAACAGGATTTTGCCATATGAAACAGATATATAGGTTTAGAATGGATGAAGAAGGAAATAAGTGCCCTTCTAAGAATGTTTTGTTGCAATCATTTTTATGTAATTGCAATTATGGCATTTCAAAATTACAGAACCAATGGCATTAATACTTGATCGACTTCATGAATGAATTAGCTCAATTTGCTAGGTCTTTAGTTGCTCAACCATCATCCGCTTGGTACAGAATATTTGGTTAGCCACTTGTTTTCCTTATCCTGCCTTTTGAGGCAGATGTGGTTGTTTATCCTTGCAGCCCCTATAGCACGACTATCCTCGTGGCAAACCCCCTGGGAAAGATGACTGTAAAGGCTGATCTTATATTCGAAGAATACAGTTAAGCTTCTACTTGTCTAATTTCTACAACTTTTATACACACTGGGCATAAATTCCAGAGTTATTACTCATTTTGCTGTATTATTCATGCAGTTGGCGTTGATCTCCATGAAAAACTTCTGCCAATTAACGAGAGCAATTCAAATGCGAATAATAAACGTGGAAAGGAACAGCCTCAGTTTTTTGCTCCACCTGAGGAAGTTCGTGTTGTGGACGATGACAATGCAGCCACAAATCAAACTTTGGCTGAAGAACCTCCTGGTTTAGTTGAATCTAAAAGGGAAAGCTCTTTAATGTGAGAAGCAGAGGATTCATCTGGATTTCAAATAGCTTATTTTAGTTTTGATCCATTGGGGCTTGAAGGGGTTTGTCTTTATACCATATATCTGATAATAATTCTTTTCTATTGCAGGCCGAGTTTCAATCTCTTGGATGAAGAATTGGGAGAAGGTATACCTTACGGCATAATGCAATGCTTTTCAGTAGATGTCCTGGTATCTTTTTGCATTTTCACGCACCATTTCTACCTCAAATGGCTGCAGGAGAACCTGCTGCTGGAACTGAAAAAGACGACTGCGAAATGATCGTCGGGCATACAATATTTGACCATATACGTGACAAAGCCAAGAGCTTCCCTCTGTTGACTCCATTAAACAGTGCCTATCCCCAAGCATCTGGTGGCTTAATTCTGACAAGAAAGCGCTCTCGCGACCAGCCCCTGGAAGAAATAGAGAGAAGCAAAACTCATCAACATATTGTGCTCGATCCTTCCCCAGAATCCAGAGAGCCAGAACAGAATGTCCATGGTATCAACAACTACATGACCAGAAAGCACCACATAAACTCTGGGAGCTCAGTTACCATTGATCTCACGGATGAGTCAGGTACATATTTGACCAAAGCATTGTTCGTAAAATCATCATTGTTTGCTTCTGGTATGGTGTTAAATGTTACTTCTATCATTCAAGGTGATCTTCCATCTGAACCTGAAGTCCTCTCGTTCAAAACGTTGACTGAAGAAACAATCTTTGATCACATACGGAAAAAATCCAGGAATTTTCCTGTGCTCAATACGCCAAAGCCCGTTGAGTCCGATTCTTTCTTTTGGACAGAGGAACACTTCACAGTGAATCGGCCACGGTTTTGCAATGCTACTTCAACAACATCAAATGATTCGAATTCCAGCAATGTTGTCAGAGATGCAATGGTCATTTCAGAGCTGGAACCTGGGGAAGTCAACATAGACGTGTGTGAGACCAAAGCCGGCACAAAGGCGGAAAACAATGTATGCCATGGAAGTTCCAGTGGAGCAAATGGAAAATCAGCAGTTTCTCCCAAAGTTTCAAGCACCAACGCTGGTATATCGTCTATTAAAATGCTGACATTTGATATTTCAATGGTGAAGAATAGCAAGCGGCCAGCAGACCTTGGAAGCTGTGTAAAGGATGGTTCGAAAGAACTGCCATCTCCAATCGAATCCAAAAGGCCATGCTGCTCAGTGGCGTCCACAGGCAAAGTCAGGGAAGTAGATTCATTCCTTGGCTTTCAGAGCGTCTTTTCATTTCTCTGATTTACGTGGAGGTGTCTGCCGAGAAGAGTTTCATTTCTATTTTACTATCCGACTACCAGTTACCAGAGGTATTTCTTCTTTTTGTTTTTACTTAGCCGTCTATTTGGTTGCTGAGAAAGCCTAGCTTCAAATTTTCTAGTTCTGCTGATTAGTAGTTCTGTTCAGTTCTGAAGATTAAGTTTGACAAAGATTACCATATAGGGTGATGATTGTCAAAGATTTAGCAAATTGATAAAAAAAAATGGTGCAACAAAATTCAAACAAGTTTTCCCAAAGGGAAAAACACACTACCAATTAAAAGCAATTAATGATTAATGAGCTTTAGAGTTATGCAAGGAATCTGTAGAAATGAACCAAATTTCTTTAATTAGTTTGGATTGAGTGAAAAGGTCGCTAAATAGACCTATTGGGCTGGGGCACAAAATTTCAAGCAGCAAATGTGTGGGCTGAGTAGGTTTCATCAGCTTAGGAAAATGGTGGCCGAAAGCAGCTTTTATGTATCACAAATTCAGACAAGACAAGTTAAGATCTTATCACAAGAATTCTTTTTTTTTTTCTTTTACTTTTTTCTCTGTGGTACTGAAGCAAGAAAATCAGTTAGCAAATCAGAAATTAGTGCAAGGAAAGTATCAAAAGTCAAAATAGCCGGATAAAAAAGGCCCACAGGAATGCCTAAATTTCAAAATAAGCGACCACCGTTTAAACGAGGAGAAAATAAAATTATCCTAGAAGTTTTAAACCTTTGACAATGGCGGTGCTAAGTTCCAATAATGCTCAATAATGGAAAGTTGCTTGCCTAGTTGGTAAAAATGACTTAAATTCGAAAATCTACTCGATTTGATTGAATTTGATTTGATTAGAAAAAATTAAAATGATTTAAATTTATTCAACTGGAATCGAAATTTTCAAATTCAGACAATTAAAAAATAATCTAAAATTACTTTAATTAGAATACTTTATCAAAATCTAATTTTATTTAATTTTAAAAAATTAATAATATGAACTTGAAATAATTTAAATTCGAATGTTCTAAATTCAAATAACTTGAGTAATAAATTAAAATGATTTCAATTTAAAATAATTAGATATGATTTAAACTCAAAATAATTTGGATCCAAAATAATCTGATTTTAAAAAAAAAATTAAAATTTTCTTCAACGTGAAATAACCAAACCGACCAATCAAATTGCCACCAGTACACATTACCTATTTCCCGATAAAATCAACCATTCGTGAAGGGAGATGTAATGTGAATCTCGAATACAGAAAATCAACACCTAAATTAGTGCAATAAATGTTGCCAGTGACATGTTTTCATGTACATTATGTAACACCTGGATTGGTAGGAGAGTCAACAAATAATGTTGCCACGTGGATAACAACAAGAATGCCACGTGGTAAGTTGTAGCCTGTCACATCAATTATTAATTTTAACCCCCGTCTGTTTGTTTGCTCTAAAAAGGCGATATGATATGAGCATTAAATAATATCTTAATCATCCGCTGGATAGGCTGAAATGGCTTCAGTCCTTGCAAATCAATTGACAGAAAATAAATGGAATTGCAACATCTATGGAGCCAAATGGGTCCCCAGCAAACACCCCAACTTAAAACTTTTAACTTTTGGATTCCTCAAAGAATATTTTTGCGTGAGAAGAAGTCAAAAAAATATATTAAACAAGAAACCTAAAGTTCAAAGCTATGGTCTCACAAGCTCTGCGGAAAAATTGATATGCCTATATATAGATATCTACAGTCATTGCTTAATGTTTTGTCTCCTACCATGTTGCCGCGTTTGTTGACTGTCGGCTGATTGTAACTTCAATGGGCATTGCTGCTTTGTACCACAAAAGAATTATGCCAGAGACCTTCCCCTAAACCCTCCATGACTTGATTAGTCCTGGGATTTCAACCGGCTTCTGCATTAATCATTGGCTTCTTGATGCCTCATCTGAACTGTGAGTCCTAGAAGGCTCGGAGGATGTACCTGAGTCTTGAATTTTTCTCACTGCATTTGTTATGGAACTGTCCGTGCTGTAGGACCTTGTAGAGCTTGTTGGATCTAGCACACTAGCATTTAAGAAAGGAGGCTGGTTGGGTGAAGGAATTTCACAATCTTTATCTGTCAGCATCTGAACTACTTGTGCCATTGATGGTCTTAAGGGAACTGAAGCTTGTGTGCACAATAGTCCAATTTGAAGCACATCGGGGGCTTCTTTTGCTGAAGTATCATCTTTTAGGCTAGAGTCCACAGCTTCAGCCAATCTATTTGATCTGTAAAGTGTCCAAACCTGAGGTTGAAAATCCCATATCAGAATTCTCATTTCATTTCTAACTGATTTAACAGCAAGAGAAAGTAGTAATATGCCGAAATGAACAATGATTTAGGAGCTTACTGTTTGTAGAAGGGAACCAGGGTCCTTTGTGAAGGTGGTGTTCCTTTTACCACATGCAATCTCAAGAACTAGCACCCCAAAACTGTAAACATCTGCTTTCTCTGTGAGTTGTCCTCGAACAAGGTACTCTGGAGCCATGTATCCACTGCATCAACAGCAGTTCATATGAAGTTCTTTCATGTAGTACTGCTCAAACTATGAACCAATGTCATGCTGATGAAATGCATTTGATTCTAATGAATAGCAGTATGAAAAACCAATCAGACAATCAGATAAACCTTCTCTAAACTTACAGTGTTCCAGCAACCCCAGTGCTAAGATGACTCTTGTCTGTAGCTAAACATCGTACGAGTCCAAAATCAGCAATCTTTGGGTCGAGATTCTCATCTAAAAGAACATTGCTGCTTTTAATGTCCCTGTGGATTATCCTTATGTGAGACCCTCCTCCATGAAGATGTGCTAGCCCCTCAGCTATTCCAACAATGATATCAAAGCGCTGCTTCCAATTTACAAGGCTTGCTTTCTTCTCATCTGCGTATGAAAGTAAAATCATCAACACCTTGGAAGTAGGTTACAGAAAGCAGGATGGAATGGCAATAGAAAAATTTAGGCTGTAACTAATCAGAAAGAATCATGTTTTTACTAAGCAAAAAGCCATGCTAAATCATGTAAAGGGAAAACAATTTACCAAAAATGAACTGATCGAGGCTCTTGTTTGGTACATACTCATAAACCAGGAGACTCTCAGGGCCCTCAATGCTACAACCCAGAAGCTTCACCAGATTCTTGTGTTGAATTCTGCTGATTAAGTTTACCTCATTAAAAAAGTCATCTACCCATTGCCTGGTATTGTATATCAATCTCTTCACAGCTACAGTCTTCCCATTTGGAAGAATCCCCATGAATACAGAACCAGTTCCTCCTTGGCCTAGCTTCCTTGAAAGACTAAAGAAATCCGTTGCCTTCTCAAGGGTTTCATACTTGAACTTCAAACCTGATTTGTCAAAGCTTTTGGAAATCTGGCCGAGATTTTTGAGCTCTAGGCAATGCAACAGAGAGTAATAGATAAGAGGAGGCTAATGCTTTATGCAAAAAATTGATGCTAAAGAGATTTGAGATGGATGAAAACCGCTAGAATTAACACTGCACATTGTGAAGATTACTCAAGAGTGATTGTACCTTCTTTCCTCTTTGACAATCTTGCATAAGTAGCGTAAGCTGCTGAAAGAGAGACCATCAAGAATGCAGCAATTGATGAGACAATTGCTATTATGACTGCAATTTCTGAAGTCCCTGAAAAAGGTGAAATACATTCAATACAACCGGAAGAGAAGACAAGAGGGGAACGGAATTTAGAACTCATACAAGGGAACAATCCAGAATCTACTCTAAAACAGCCAAAGAGGAAACAGTGAACAAATAGCCTAACTAGAACTTCTTTTTGAAAGTGGTTGAAAAAGGTTCATGGCAGACTTACCAAGATCATGCTCTGCTTCTCCCTCTTTACTATAAAACTTATTGGTCGAGTACCTTAAATAACACCCAGTATTCATCCCTCTTCCTTCCTCCTTTGGCACGCAGCCTGTCACCGCCTTTGCCGCCTTCTCCAGGCACTCTCTGCACCCTTCAGCCGGGACACTCTTCCAACACTGTGCCAATGCATACACACCATCCATCCCCACTGTCCCAAATCCTCCATTTCTCAAAGCAATCCTAGTCACATTCCCAACTGCATAATCAACACTCCTACCAAATAAATTCACCTCCTTACTATCTCCACCAAACACTGTTACGTTATCAGGGCTGCAACTGACATTATCCAAACTAGATGAGACAGACTCTTGATAAAAGCTGTAATTATCGTAACGCAAGAAGCAGCCATCAAGAAAGATTCGACCTGAGATAGAAGGAAGGCAACGTGGAAGCGTAGTCCTTGAGGCTGCATAGCAAAGAAGGCAATCAGTTTGTGAGAGGTCTTGATGGCACTGAGCCAATGCATAAATTGGAGTTGTAGAGTTGAGGTGGTAAGAAGCAAAGTGGCTATTGTTGATTGCTTGGGACAAGCCTCGCATCTCTTCAACAAAGTTTGGAATTAAGTTGGTCCCATTTGGTGCCCTGGAATGGCCACAGAAAAGGCCAGCGTTCGAGATCCTTGGATCAGAGAAGGAGCTGGAGAACAACAAATGGATTACAAAGAAGAAAACCCATCTCCAGTATGGTTGTTTAGAGGCTGAGAACTGCATGGGAATCAACTTTAGCCTTCTTTCTTTCATCTTTTCTCTTTGCTTTTGTGGGTGTTCTAACTTTGTTGCAGTTTCAGGGAAACGCACAAGTATGCAGAAGAAGCAGGTATACGAAAAGAATACTGCTAAAGTATGCTGTTGCTGGCTTGCTGTTGTCAAGTCTTTACAGCCGACATGGGAGCTTTCAAATCTGAGTACATTTTTCTAGCTTATGGCCCATTTTATTTTTCTCTTGTTCTGTCTCCATCACCCTGTGGAAGGCGGAATGATCCATTAGGTATAGTATAACCAGTTATGGTTAAGGCCAGTGCGTTGATTAATTGACCTCCATTATTCTAATCAACAAGTCTAACATGGCAAACATTTCAAATTCCACTACAATTTTTGCTTGGGTGGAAGACTCAAATCCGCTTTCTTTGAATCAAAATCATATGCACTTATCATTTAAGTTCAAAATTAGATACAATTTAATACCTTATATCTAATGAAATGATACACCAATGAAGTGAAATTCCCTTCACTTTTCTTGCACTCTAAGCTGGAGAAAAGATGGAAGCAATGAAGACACGGTAAATGATCAATTTCTTTTTGCCCCTTTTTTTTGGGTTGTAGACTTTTTCTTCAGAATTAGGTACAGAGGAGCACACAGCTCACCTGGCAACACAAGTCTAATCCACTTTCTAAGAATTCAATAGATTTCTATTAACTTGACTCATCTGTCCTCCACTGTTTTTGCTTTGCATGTGGGTGATTTCTATGCCATGAAAAGTCCCCAATTCTTGGTGAAAACGTGTTGATCCCAAGAAAGGTATACATTTCTTTATTCAAAAAAACACAAAAGACCTTGGTCTCTCTTCAATCATTGTCTTCCAGAACATGATGTAATGGATGCAGTTTCACATCTGGATCTGTTCGATTTATTCCTGACTATTAAATCAATACCCCACATTTCATTGAGTGGAAATCGGGGTTCTTCTTTTGTCTTTTTTAATAGAATTCCTTTCGGTCTTTTTTTTATTTTCAAGAAAATAAAATTAAAATTAAAATCTATTTTATATTAAAATTTAATTTTTTTATAATATAGATTTCAATACTTTTTAATATATAAAAAGTAAAAAAAATCATAAAAAATAAATTTGTGATATAAAAAAGTAAAAATATTAAAGGTTTAAAAATAAAAATAATACTTTCATTTAATAACGTCTCCAAAAGGAGAATGAATAAAAACGGAAGAGATTATTAATTGCAGATAAAGTTTCGTTTTCAACTCACTCATTGACAACGGCGTTTTAACTCAAATCTTATTATTTAATAAGGCACTTAAAGCCAATAAATACTCAATTAATTTTTTGAATTGATTTTCAAACTTGTATATGAATATCTTATACACTATTTGTCAAATATCAGATTAAAATAAATTTAAATAAATCTTTTAAATATATTATTAACAAAAATTAAATTCATTAAAAAATAAATTAAAATTTAAAATCATATTTAAAACAATTAATGAATTTTAATAAATATTATATTAATAATATTAAATTTATAAATAAATATATATATAATTAAAACTTTAATACTAAAATTCATTATTTATAATCGTATTTAGATAATAGGTACCTTAACACAACCACTCGATTCCTATCTAAATCTGATTACAAAATATCTTAATCTTACTTAATTTGAGTTTGATTTTTTGAACCGCCTCGGCAAGTGGTCTGTCCATTTTTTTTTACTGCAGAAAAATGAAATTAAATACTTTGACTATTATTATTACTCAAAACAGCCAATTGTAGCAAAGGCCAAAGGGCCTTCATATCCGGCGAAATCCAAGCACTCCACTCCCGTTGTTTGTTTCTGGCTCCGTTTTCCAGTTTTGACGTTTCTATGCCCAAAAGTCACGATTAACCATCACTCTCTTATCTTTTATTCTTTGAAAATTCAGTAATACTACTTCTACTTGCCATTATTTCTTTTTCATTCACTCAACTTGGGATATATATATATATATATATATATAATCATATTTTTAAATTCATTAATTTTACGTAATATTTTTTTAAAAAAAAAAACTCATGATCTATTAAAAAAATTTAAATAAAATTTTTATTATTTTGAGTCAAATAAGATTTTATAAGTAATTATTTATTAACTGTTATTAATCATTATGTAATCTGTTATTCTATGTCACGTATTGTTGTACCATGTTGATATATCATGTGAAATAATGATATAATTATGTAATTTTTTAATTAATAATAATTAATCAACTGTTAATCATAAGGGTTTATTTTACTTAAAATAAAAAGTACACGAACGTAATTGAACGTGATAGAAAAATAAAAATTTATTTAAATTTTTTTAAATAATTTAACGTTTTTTTTAGAAGTATTTTATGCTGATTTTATTTTTTTTAATATGATTAGTGAATTTTCAAGAAATATTATCATAGTATTAATGCTCTACATGTGATATGTATAATATTGTAGATGATGTTGGAGTAATTGTTTTATAAATTAATATGTTTTCTATTTTCAAGATCATATTCAATGTAGAAGACAAAAAGTGGAATAAGAATCATTATTAGTAGATCACCTATGAATCTACCTTTTGGTGGCAATAATAAGAATCTAAAGCAGCGGCTGCCATGAAAGCAAAGCAGATAAACCAGATTCATATGCTGAAAATTGTAATGTGACATCCTAAAAGCAACAGAAGAAATGGGACAAGAAGAAGAAAGAGAAATTCAATTAGAGGCATTGATAATTACAATCCTGAGGTCTATGTAGGTTGAACATTTGAGATTTCCCTGGAATAAAGCCAAATGAAGATGATAATTCTACACATTCATCCAAAAATGGAGGTTTTGTTGGTGCAGGCAACTCCATGTCTTTGTGTCTCAGCATTTGAAGTACTCTAGTCATGCTGGGACGCAGAGCTGGTTTCGCCTGAGTACAGAGCAGACCAATTTGGATGTCTCTCTTTGTTTCTTCAACATCTTCAATCTCCAAGCTCTCATCTATGATTTCTGATGTTGTGTTGGATTGGAAGTGCTTCCATGCCTGGTAAAAAGGTGAGAACAGGGAAAGGTTGTTAACAAAAGTCAAGAAGTGTATATGTATATATCAGTAAACAGATTGGATAAATTTGTAAGCAGAGTTTGTGGGGTTTTTACATCAGTCACCAAAGTTTCGAAATAGTTATCTGATTCTAGTGTTGTGTTCTTCACTCCACAGATTATTTCAAGCACCAGAACCCCAAAGCTGTAAACATCTACTTTTTCTGTTAGTCTTCCCTTGGCAATGTATTCTGGAGCCATATACCCACTACAAAGGCAAAGAAACCACAGAAAAGGTTCATGAATTCATCTAAATACAGTGCATTAACAGCCCTGATGTCTAAATTATGAGAGAATGAAAGAGAATGTACATATTATGTGGAAGAATGACTTGTTACAAAGACACCCTCTAGACAAAGATTCAATAAGCTCACTTTGTATATGCTGAAAAGACATCAGTAGTTTTAAATATACTAGTAGTTGCCAACAGGTTACTAGAGCTGAAACAAGATTCTGTATCAAGTACTTACAATGTACCGGCGACAGGATTGTTGACAAGGGAACTCTTATCACACTCACGAGAAGAAAACCTTGCCAGGCCAAAATCAGCAATTTTGGGTCTGTATTTCAAGTCCAGTAAGATGTTACTCGCTTTGATGTCCCGATGAATGATCCGGACTCTGCAGCCTTTGTGCAGGTATTCCAAACCTTCAGCTGTACCTATGATTATCCTATGCCTTATTCCCCAGGCTAGCTCTTTCTTCCTCTCCGGATCTTTCTTCCATGGGGCATCAAAACAGTTATCAGATTGTTTTAGTACTTCCAATGGATTCTCTCTAGCTTGTACTAGTATTTAGGTACCGATAACTTACCAAATAAGATGGTGTCAAGGCTTTTGTTAGCAAGGTATTCATAGACAAGGAAATTCTCTACTGTGGTGAAGCAGCCACCTAGGAAACGAACCAGGTTCTTATGTTGAGCTTTGCTGATAACATCCACTTCATTGTATATCTCCTCTCTTCGACTCTTGCCATTTACATACAAACGTTTTATTGCAATTTCTCTTCCATCTTGTAAGGTTCCCTACACAAATTTTCAGATAATACAGAGAAGAACAGGAACATCTAAATGCTTCATAAGATAAAAGTGTTGGTATATACCCTAAATACTTCACCATATCCTCCACAACCAAGCTTGTTAGATGCATCAAAGCAATCAGTTGCTCTCTCTAAAGTTGAAAACTTGAACTGCAAGAACTGCATGGCCTTGTCCATTGCTGCGAAGTCCAGTTCTTTTCCTGTGTTAAGTAACATACAAAACCTAATATAAGAGACCAATCTCTGGCAAAAGAATAGAGACGAGAAGAATTAAAGAAGAGAAAAGGGTCATGATTTCTTTTCAGCTTTTCTAACATTACCTTTCCGCTTGCGTCCAGAGTTCTTCGTTATGTAAGCCAATTTTCCCAGGCACAACCCAATTGCAATGGCCAATAAGCCAATGGCGACCGCAAAGAAGACATAAAATATGAATGATACAATTGCATCTACAAAAGAGACATGAAGCTAATTATATTACTATTTGAGCAAATAGAATGAACCAGGATCATTGGAAACTAACATCGGGTTGAACCAGCATCAGGGTCATTGGCGAATTCGTAAGTGGAGTAACGTAAAAAGCAGCCAGCGTTGAGGGCACGTCCCTCCTCCGATGGCATGCAATGGAAGGCAGAATTGACAGCATCTATCAAGCAAGCAGAACACATATCCTTGTCCAAGGTTCTCCAGCATTGAGCCATGCCCTGAACTGTGGTTCCATTTTTTTTCTCCTGAGCCAATCCGAAACCTCTGTTGTTTGGAGCCTTGTAGACAATCTTTTGGAGTACATTTCTTAGAAGTTTTTGGAATCCTTCCTTGGTGTCAACATCATCGCTGCATCTCTACCTCCATTCAACCCCCAAAGAGGAGAAATTCAATAACTTGTTAAATGAAAGAAACTATCATAAGGCTCATGAGGCTTAAAAAAGACCCAAAAGAATTGGCTTGGTAGAGAAAGCAAGAAGGAATTGGTAAAAGACAATGGCACAGAGACAGATATTGCAGTAAAAAAACATATATGAAATGAGAAATGATGCAGGGTTGGGAATGGGTCATGACTTGCATTAAAG